TGTTGTCTTAGGTCGTAAATCTGTTCGTTGTGAGGGGGACCGACTCATTTGGTGGTTCTAGGAATTCTGATGACGACTAGGAAGGGTTTCATTATAGGTTCTAGTTTATTTTGGGTGTTTCTTGTTTTGTGTGTGTTAATTGAAAGGTAATTTTTTTGCAATTACCTAATGATGTGGCATCCCAACTGTGAACGGTTTGCCACATCATCGTAAATTGCCAGCCATCCTGGTAAAAAAATGGTCGCCCTCGGACGTCAAGTTTATTTTGCTAGACTCAGACAAATCATGATTTATTAGAGCATGCTTGGATATAAATTTGTTTTTGTTTTGATTTGGGTTGGTTAAATTTGAAAAAGTAGGTATGGTTAGTTGTTAGTGGATATAATAAAATAATATTTAAAATAAAATAATTAAAATTAAAATGATGTAAAAGTAAGATAGAGAAAATGTGATGTGATAGTTAGTTAAATTTATGTGAGTAGATGAATAGTGAATTAAGGTTGATGTTGTGTATAAAAATGATTGATTGAAATTATTTAATTATATTTATAATATTGATGATAGTGGGTTGAGTTAAAGTTGAGTTAAAAAAGTGGTTGAGTTAAAAATGTTTGGATTTTTTTGAGAAATTTTTGTATCCAATCATGCTCTTAGCAATTATTCAAAAAATTTAATTAAGTTGCCAAAATACCAAAGATAGGAGTTTTTTTGCAACCAACCCAAAATTTTAAATAAGACTGAACTTAAAAAAAAATGGAGAGTGATTCCAAAAGTATAGACATGGCCCGCCGGGCCATCGGGTTGGGTTTCAGTGGCCATGAACCGGCACGAACCTAGGCTTGTGTCGAGTCCATGACCATGCGGGCTAGGCCCAGACCCGCATAAACAAGTTAAAAAAAAAGAAAAAAAATTAATCGCAATGTATTTTTCATGCCGACATGGACCCAGCCCGATTTGCCAGGTCAAGTTCGAAAAAGCCAAGACCCTTGACTGGCCTGTTTGTAATTCGAGCCGGGCCCGCACCCGTGGTCAATGGGTTTGACCAGGCCCGGTCCGGGTGACCCGTGCCACGTCTACAAAAGTGTACGGTGTACCATTGAGCATAAATCGAGATAAATTTTTCTCCAATTGCCAAAAGCGTTTGCTCTTCAAGACTACAACTAACATTTCATATCAGAAATGGGCTTTTAATAAGTACATCGCCATCAATGCAAATGAATCATGAAAAATGATGACCAAAATTGACAGCGACGCCCGCGCTAACAGCGCTGTCTGATCTCAGCAACACGCCGGAAAGTCCCTTTTTCAACGAAATCCGGGCCGCCCAATGTTCAGATCCAATCCAGACTCCCTTTTCTGCCCTTTTCTCTCTCATCCACTTTGAGGTAAAAAGTGAGAGAGAGAGAGAGAGAGAGAGAGAGAGAGAGAGAGAGAGAGAGAGAGAGGTAACATTTGCTGCCATCTCTTCTTATGCATTCGGGAACATTTGCTCTCTTTGCATCTCTCACACAATCGGTAAAGTAATCACGGGTTTCAGTAGTTGTTTGGGTGATTTACTTGCTAACATCTCTTAGTCGCTACTATGAAGAATGCAGATTTTCCTTTTCCTTTTCCCTTTTCGAGTGATTAATAGCCTTTCTATATTTGTACATGTTCATGTATTGTAGAGCTTCCAGTTGATCCCAAATGTTAAGCAACATTTTTTTTCAGTGTTAGTTACCTCTGGTTGATTTCAGGGGTTCTCTGGTGCCCTAATTTTAGTTACTCTTTTGTGTCTGAAGTAGATTTTAGATGAATGAGATCGTGTTATTTGCTTGGAATGTATCAAACTAACTGCTGCCCCCTAATTGTTTTTCTACTGAGGATTTCTATTTGCTGGTTAAATAGTTATATTTTGTGTGTCCGTTTAACCATTTACCGAAATCTGAAAATTTGTGTGTTGCTGACAGTATGTGATTTCTTGAAATTTGGTTGAGCTGGAAGATACTGAAAAAAGTCGAATGGATCAAAAATCTTGGCTGTGGAAGAAGAGATCTACCGAGAAGACCTTAATAGCAGATAAAGCCAGTCATTCTTCAAGAAAATGTGAAGAGGAAACTACTGAGGTCTGGTTATTTACATTCATGTTAATTTGCATTCGCTGCTATGGACGTAAGGTTAACATGTTATTATCATTTAGTTTACGCACTGAAACTGAATCTTTCCACGTAGATGCCCGAATGTCTCTAATTTTGTGAAGTAATTAGTGTTATATTCACAACAAAAATGGAGTTATTTAACATTATGAATCGATAGTGTTAATTTAACACCGCTGCCTGAAATTTAAATGACAGCTTCGTCTTCTTCCGAGGATCATTAATGTGTTGGAACTATTGCTTATAATAGTATATGCTCACTATTGCTCAACTTGGAAATAGTTATTTTTTTTATTTATCAAGTTTTGTATTTTTATTTTCTTTCCACTCTGCTGCAATTTTGTGTTGAATATCGTTTCTATAGCAGGCAGTGTTACTAATGCTTATGGAACACTGATTTTACAGGTACAAAAAATTATGACTGAGAAAATAGACTTAGAAAGAGAACTTCAGATGTTAAATGAAAAGCTTTCCTCTGCTCATGCCGAGTGTGAGGCCAAAGATAATGTTGCAAAGAAACAGTTGAAAATCTCAGAGGAAGCCGTTTCAGGTAATTTCTTGTTAAAACCTACTGCAAATAACTTTCCCCTTTCGTCTATTATAAAATAGAACAGGGGTTTTAAAGATTTTCTTGCAGATATTTTTTTTTTTTCATTTTCTCAATCCATATTATTTGTACGAATGTAGGCTGGGAGAAAGCAGAAAATGAAGCCAAAACTGTAAAAGAAGAACTCGAGAAGGTTTCGCAGCAAAAGTTTGCTTCTGAAGAACGAATGAACCAATTAGATGCGGCATTAAAGGAATGCATGCAGCAATTACGTTTTGTTCGTGACGAACAAGATAAAAGAATTCAAAATGCGGTTATGAAGACAACAAAGGAATTTGAGAAAACAAAAGTTGTCGCTGATGAAAAATTAGCGGAGGTGGTTAAAAAGCTTTTCAAATCAGAAGCCGAAAATTCTCAGCTCATTAAAGTCCTAACTGTAAGAGAAAAGACGATTGAAGATCTAACCAACTACAAAACTCAATTGGATGCCAATTTTAATGCCCTAAGCTCGAGAGTAGAGTCTACCGAGAAAGAAAATGCCCGTTTGAAGTACGAGATTCATGTTCTGGAGAAGGAGCTGGACATTCGAAATGAGGAGAGAGAATTGAACTGCCGAAGATCTGGTTTAACTAAAAAACAATATGAGGCGAGTTTAAAAAAGATTGCGACATTGGAAACAGAGTGCGAAAGGCTTCGTCTTTTAACACGAAAACAGTTGCTGCGCCCCACTACTTCAAATACAACGAAGCGCGAAATCAAATTGTTTGAAGATAAGGATCAAGTTGACACAAAGAAAAAGAAGTCGAATCTTTCTCGAACTATTTCAACCGATTTTGGTGTTCACTCCTCAGGGAATAGTGAGAGATTATCTGGAATTCAGCTTCCCGAATCGGCTTCCAGACCTTCACGAGCTGAAGAACACCTTCAAGGACTCTTTAAAGACCAAAAAATTGCAGAACGATGTGAAAGATCGCGCTTATTAATGGAAAATTCGACAACATCTTTGTCTGATATGGCAGAAAGTGATGATAGAGCCAGCTATGCCGAGTCGTGGGCCTCTGCTTTGAATACAGAGCTAGAACATTTCAAGAATGACAAGCAATTGAAAATCCCATGTCGTAAAAGTATTAGAACTTCGGACATCGATCTCATGGATGACTTTGCTGAGATGGAAAAGCTGGCACTTGCCTCTGCCGATGTTATTCAGACATCCAAAAATTTGATTTCTTGTGAGGCTACAAATGGTAGTAGTGTCTTAAATAGCCATAAGCTGCAGCCAAATGCAAGCGAAACAATAAACAAAATTCTGGAGCTTCTTGAAGGAGTGAATGAAAAGTGTCGAGATAATGGTGTTGGGGGACTTTTTGATAGTAGATCATGCAAGAATTTGGAAAACCCGACAGGCTACACAGTTCGAGTGTTTCAATGGAAAAGTGATGAGCTCTCGTTCATTTTGCAAAAATTTGTTCGAACTTGCAACGGTTTATTAAATGGGTCTGTCAATCTTGAATGTTTTGTTCAGGAAGTTGCACTTACTTTGGAGTGGGTTTTAAATCACTGTTTCTCAATTCAAGATGTCTCAAGCATGAAGGATGCAATTTTGAGCCGTTTTGATTGGGATGAGTGTACTGTGGATAGTGGATGGGCTAATCCTGCTGTAGAATGCAGTAAGTTGCCTGTTTTGGGACAAGGCGTGGAGTGTGTCAAGTGTGAATCTGAGGTTGTAACTGGAAGTCTTCGTTCGGAGGTGGAAGCTGTGAGGCAACGGGATGGTAATAACAGAGATGAAATTGGAAAACGGAGTATGATGAAAGAAGACGTTGAGACCCTGGTTATAGAAACCAATGATGAACTGAGAAAAGCTTACCAGAGAATTTTGGATTTAGAAAACGAGCTGGAAAATAAAAGTAGTTCTTGTATTAGACTGGAAGAGACATGCCGTGACCTACAGAAACAGCTGCAAAGGTACGTTTTGTAAATGTTTCTTCATTCTCTGTGGCGGTATCCTTTTGGACTTTCAGTTCTGATGAAAATCTAAATTATTTCAGAATAGCGAGCAAGGAAGTTCTGGGTAATGAGAGGCAAATGGAAGAGCAACTTCAAAGTGTACGTTTGTGCTATCCCGTGCTCAACTTCTGATGTCTGAAAATTTTATCTAAAGATTGAATTTTGCATAGTGGCAGTTATTACATTATTTTGTCCTATAAAAAAATTCCTGGAATCCTAAATTCTAAAAGGTCCAAAGCAGTTGTCAAGTTGAATTGATTGAACAATAAATAGCGAAATGGATGAGAAAAGAAACGCATATTTAGTTATTAGGTTGTATACTGCAAAAAGGTCATCTAGTTAGTATGTTCTTTGCACTATACTATAAGCTCAGTCTCATGATTTGGATCTTAAAATGAATATAAAGACGTCGGAGTTGTCTCAAAAAAAAAAAAAAAATATAATGGCGGGTTAGTCTAATTTCCATAATATCAAACTCTGCCTTTCAAAATTACCAATATTTCCTTTGGGCATCAAGAATGCCATGAGGGTTGTATTATTTGTTACATAGTATATTCCCCCATCAGTAGAACAATTTATAAATAAACGAAAACTAGTATATATGCTAGATTTATTGGTAATGTGGGAAAAAGTTTCCTTTTCTCATCTCTCTCCTTTCCTGTTTCGACTGAGAACTAAACCTCATTGGTAACAACAACAACATACCCAGTATATTCCCAACTGGTTGGGGTCTGGGGAGTCAGTTGTACGCAGACCTTACCCTTGCAATTATACAAGGAGGCTGTTTCCGTAGCGACCCAAGGTGCATTGCGTCGTTTGATATATATATATATTTTTTTTTTCTAGAAACTTCACTAATAGAAGAAGCACTAGAATTTAATTGAGCCATTTTGATCTAGTCCATTATTAGCACTATGTCAGGAGAATTGTCAACAATGACTCTTCCAGCTCCATTTGCAATGGACAAAACTAAACCTCATTGGTAACATTCTAATTAAATTCCAATAAGTTGTGCTTAGCCCAACTTTTTCCTACAAACAGAACAGTTTTCAACCTTCCCCACAAAGCACTCTCTTTTAACTGAATCAGTTCTTATTGCAACTACCTTCACTACCTCTGCAACAACAAAATCACCTTTTTTCCCCCTCAAAAAACGAAGTTTTTGCGATCACTTTCTGTATGTCTCATGTTAAATCATACATTTTTCCAAATACAATGTAGGATTGGGAGATCACATCAGCTTCAGAAAAGCTAGCAGAGTGCCAAGAAACTATCCTAAATCTGGGCAAACAGCTCAAGGCATTGGCTTCACCTAACGATGCAGCTCTTTTTGACAAGATACACATATCCACACCATCTGACTCTGTTGTTGACAGATCATCCACACCTAGGAAAAATATCAGTCGCCGGCCATCGTGTCTACTAGATAAAATGCTGGCGGAGAATAACCTTCCAACAAGTGCTTTGGCTGAAAACAAAAATTGCATTCAGAATGGAAATGGTGAATCTGGTGTTAGTTCCGAGAACTTGAACAAGATGGTCAATGGGGATGGGATTATAAAACACTCGAGAAGAAGCGAAAATGCAACTGCTGTATTGGATGTTGTCCCCTGTGAGAAAAATGGCGGCAGGGGTTTCATGAAGAAGATATTTTGGAGGCAAAAGAAAAGTAATGGCAGCAAAATCACCCTTCTCATAGGTTGCAGTTGAGGGCCACAGTACATGCACCCTTTTATCTGTGTTTGTTTCCTTTTTATTCTAATAATTTTTGTTGTACATGAAAATTTATACTCTATCAATAGGAGATAGAAGTGGAGTTTGTGGAACAAGGTTTTTGTTTGTATCATGCGCGAAAGGGAAAAAAGAGAGAGGAGAAGAATATCCAAAAGACTGGTGTTTGTTTAGTTGAAAAATGTCTGGATTTTGCTGGTTTTCGTCGTCCAAAAGACTGCAATTTCGTCGTCCATATTGTACAAGACGTCTAAAAACAGCAGCAGAGCTCCATAACGGAGTTCAAATTGATATTATAGAAAATTACAATAACAATCTTGAAAGTGACCAAGCAAACAGAACATGCTATGGATTGAGTTTAGTAAAACAAATTCACTTGAAGCATTCGTCAAGAATCCATCTCCCAATCCATTTTCCCCTCTGTTGGCAGAAATACTTATACAGGTCCATTTAGTTAATATTTATACCCTTTCTCATACAAACTCTGAGCGGCCAGATCGCCACCAGCCCCACCTGTGTACTTCCCGAGCGTGGCCTCTGAATTGGCCTTGCACCTAGCCAAGAAGGCCTCTTGGGCTTTCTTCACGTTCTCCTTTTTCCCTGCCCATATCTTGAGCGTGCTCTGCTGTAGGGCCCGCCCGAACGAGAAGGAGAGGGTCCACGGCTTAAGCACGTCCAACTTGTTCATCGCGTTAAGGTTGACCGTGGCCTCTTCCTCGCTTTGTCCGCCCGACAAGAACACGACTCCCGGCACGGCTGGCGGCACAGTCCGCCTTAGAGCCGTCACCGTGTACTCTGCAATCACTTCTGGAGCAACCTGTGCAAGTATTTATTTTTGAAGAAACAAAAAATATATATATATAGTTGGTGTTCCTAGTAAAGCAATTTTTCATTATTTTCATTATTATTATTACCTTAGGGGAGTCAGAGCCAGGGGTAACCATATTAGGCTTCAATAGCGTCCCCTCGAGAAGCACGTGATGATCGTTGAGCGCCTTGTAGACCGCGGCCAGCACCGTCTCGGTAGCTGCGGCACATGCTTCAATATCGTGGCTCCCGTCAGTCAGAATCTCGGGCTCAACAATCGGGACGAGCCCGTTCTCTTGGCAGATGACGGCGTAGCGGGCCAGGCCCTGCGCGTTCTGCTGGATGCTCAGCTCGGACGGCTCGGTGAGCCCGATCTTGAGGACGGCCCGCCACTTGGCGAACCGGGCCCCCGCCTTGTAGTACTCGGCGCAACGTGCCCCGAGGGAGTCGAGCCCTTGGGTGGTGGTCCCACCGTTGGTGCCGGCAATGTCGATGGTGCCCTTGTCGACCTTGATGCCCGGGACGACCCCATTTTCGACGAGGACGTCGACAAAGGGCTTGCCATCGGAGGTCTTTTGGTAGAGGGTCTCCTCGAAGAGGATGGCCCCCGAGAGGAAGGAGAGGGCCGAGGGGGACGTGAAGAGGAGCTCGCGAAGGGCCTGGCGGTTGGATTCGATGTTCTCCACGTTGATGCTCGAGAGGCGCTTGCCGATGGTGCCGGTCGACTCGTCGGCCGCGAGGATGCCCTTGCCGGGTGTGGCAATGTACTTGGCGGTCTTGATCAGCTCCTCTGCGTACATGTAGGCCATTTACAGGTCTAACGTTTAGAAAACCATAATTTCTCAACATATATATGTATATACTATTAAATACAACATAAACAAATATATTCAATTTGACTCGCATGCACACATGCACTTAACAAGTTTACAACTTTTTGAGCAAAAGACCAAAAGGTAAAGTGAATAAAATAACGAGAAATGTACAGTCCCGTTACGGAACCATTTCGTAACCGTTAGTTCATAATGTAATCGTCGTTGATAGTTGATCTAACGATTAGAAACCCCGACAGAATGGTTCCGTAACAAGACAGGACCATAGAATCTCCCTAAAATAATAACACTTACCAGCGTACTTGCCAACGAAGGCAGACATGGTTTGTTTTTCCTACTGGCCTGCTAAAAAGTTTGATATATTTGTAAAAGAAAAGTAAGTGAGGCGTATGTGTGTATTATGTATATATATATATACATGCAGAGAGGAGGATATATATGGTGTCTATATAGATCAAACTCTGACGGGATTTTCCTTTCTCAGTGATGGGACACGTGCCAGAAGAGCAGCCTAACGAAGGTTATCATCTCAGGATAGAGCAACGAGTGATCGCTCTAACTGCCAAATGGCAGCGCTGTGGCCATATTATCCTACTCTTCTACTACTCATCTGAATCTGATTTCGCAAAGTACCAAAAACAGTCTTTCTATTTCTTGATTGCTACACCATTTCCCAACTTTACCCACCCACTCGGCTAGGTTTGAGCTAAACCGAGCCGAAACAGAAAATCGAACTGAAACCGAGCAATTTAGTGCGGTTCGGTTTGCATTTTTTTATGTAAAAAATTATTGGTTCGGTTTCGGTTCCCTTTTTTTATATTGCGGTGCGGTAAGGTTATTGTTTTCCATGAGTTCGGTTTTCAGTTTTATTTGGTTAGTTGTGGTTTTTGCACCGAACCACACCAAATTAAATATAATGTATAAAAAAACTGAGAAAAAATCGAAAACTGAACCGAACCATGCATTTCGGTGTTGTTCGGTTCAGTTATATCAGTGCAAAAAAAATTCAGTTCGATTTCGGTTCGGTTTTTCTAAGACGCGGTGCGGCTCGGTTATTTTTTTGCTATGTTTGGTTTTCGATTTTTGTTTTTTTTTCAATTCGGTGCGGTTTTTCACCGAACCGCACCGTTATTCGCCCCTTCATTGGGTTCTAGGGACTTGTATTATTTATTGTATATAATAGTAGAGAAAATTACTGGATAGACTAACTAAAACCAAAAATATTGCATATATAATAATAAAATAATTTATTTGCAAACATTTCAAATTTCACAAAAATAAAATACGAGATACATGCATTTCTATAACTTTTTTTTTTTAATAGATTATTAGGTATGATACACTTTTGAGTTGTTCCATATGGAAAATATGTTATAACTTAAGTGAGCTACTTTTACTTTCACCAATTGATTTTGGGATGTAACCTCACTAAGCTGCATCTAGACTCACCCTGTTATATTGCGCTTCACGTGTATGAGACCACACTCGTTTTTCCTTCATTTTCTTACATAGATATTTAATAAGTGGTTGGTTTTGAATGATAACTTCCTCATTTTCGGGATTCTATAGTGTAACTTTCCATATCCATTCACACGCCAATTTAGACCCCTCAATGCACACACAACCTTCATTACGTTAATTTCCACCCCATCTTTTTTTTTTTTTTTTTTTTT